TTCCTTCAAAAATACGGACATTTCAATGTGACCCCAAACTTTTGAACGATAGTGTATATACAGTACATAAAAATTGAACCACATTTTTTTCTACAGTACAAAATAACTATAAAATTAAATGGAATCCAGTTGTTTTTACTGGATCCTGGACAGTTGAAGGAAAACATTGGGAAACCTCCAGCAGCCTGTATTAAAATCACTGTCAATATTAAAATATTTCAGTTAACTTTTTGTACATAGGCTGAATTATAGCCACTAAGGCACCCCTGTGCACGATTTATGGTGTCTAATCAACATCTTGATATAGCAGACCTGTAAGGTGGGATGAATTATCTCAGTAAAAGACAACAGCTCAATTTTACAGATTTAGACTGGTTTGTGAACAATATTTGAGGGAAACAGTGATATTGTGTATGCAGAAAAGGTTTTACATCTTTGAGTTCATCTCATAAAAAACGGGACCAAAACCAAAAGTTTTGCGTTTATATTTTTGATGATTGTAGTTTTAGATCATTGTACTGCATTACACAGATGCGACGCATTCTTTTAATCATTTTTTCCATTATGATGAGTTAATTTTTGTTATTAAATAAAGCTAAATTGAACCTATAGTAGAAAACCTCCCCAGCCAAGTCTCTTACCTAGCAAGCTAAGTAAAACTGTAACTTAGATATAACAAAGTTAGAATATGGTATAAATTAACCACCTTAAATGCCATCAGAAATCCTCATTTACTATCTAAACTAATGTTTGTCCTTTATTGTATATTCCCTAGACTAGCAAGGGGACGTAACAAGCAAACAAAAATTTCCTTAGCCAGGAAATTTAATCTTGCTTAACTGAGTTAATCTCTTCTTCAGTTTATTGTTGGGCCTTTTCAACCTTTTCCTCACATTTATGATTCAGCAGTGAGAGGTCATAGACATCACATTATTGTGATATCATCAAATTCAGACCACAGAGGAGTACTGCTTGCATGGCTGTTAGGAAAAGAGAAAAAGTTTTCATTTCAAAGCCTCATGCTTAGATCTGAAAGGAAAACAGGTTACAAAACATGCTTTATATATATTTATAGGAAGCTCAGAAATTGTTAAACAACTGTAAGAACATCGTGTAAAGAATACATTGTTGTTTTAGCTTAGTCATATTCAATTCAGTTTTTCAATTCAGTTTATTTATATAGCCCCAAATTCACAACATATGTCATCTCAAGGCACTTTACAGTTCACCAGATCATACAGTCAAATTGATACAAAGTTTTCTACCTAAGGAAAA